GGGCAACAAAAGCGAGACTCTGTCAAAAAAAAAAAAAAAGGGCTGATAAGCAACTATTTATTGGCCCTATGTAGATATGCATAATATATCTGGAATATCTCAACTCTAAGGTGCTGTAGTCAATGTGAAAGATACAGAAACTTGGGCCAGGCATGGTGGCTCATGCCTTTATATAATCCTAGCACTTTGGGAGGCCGAGGTGGGAGGATCACTTGAGGTCAGGATTTTAAGGAAGATACAAAAACTGCTTCTTACTATTCTAGCTGCTTCATCAAGAATGAAGTGGTAGCTATTGAAAAAAGTCATTAAATCTTTTTTTTCTTTCCTTTCTGGACAATTAGTAATAGTATTTCAATGCTTAAGAATTAAAAAATTAAATTTTTGTCTCCTTTTATGCAATTTGTTCTAGTTATACACTCAAAGACCTTTATATTTTATTTTGTACATTTTTTCTATCCACCTGCCTTGTTTGTCATGGTACAAAGGACTGAACTCAGAAAGAAACACAGGCTCTGCTGGACTTCGGGGAAAACTTGATTGATCATTTCACTCCTTCACTTTAAAACCTGGTATTTGCTCCCTGTTATCCTCAGGTATTTCAAAATTTGGTACCTACTTCTTTTTGTAGCTTTATTTCTTGCCAGTCTCCACTTCAAACTCCATGTTCCAGGCCATATTCAATTAGTTTCTGTTTTCTGAATGTGGTCTCATCTCTGCCATCTCTGAGCCTTTGCATCCCTAGCCTGTCCCTTGTGCCCTAATCATTTTTCCCTCATCTCTACAATCCTTTTGCCTGACTAACTCCTTCTCATTCCTCAATATTCAACCTTTCCTGATAGAGATGGCAGTCTCTTGTCCCCTTTTGCAATTAAAATTTACTTGTCAGTATCTGCCCCCAGCCCTACTTCCTTCCTTAGAAGACTATAAGCTACTTAAGGACAGGTACAGTGTTGCCTTGCTAAGCATTGTACCATTAGCCCCTATCACAGTGTAAGAATCACTTAATATCACTTTAAACATATATTTTGTTTGCCTTTGCTTTGTTGGTGTAAAACAAGAAAACAAAAATATTTTCTATTCTCTAGATCCTTTTCTAACCCCATCAACTATTTGGATCTGAATAAAACCACTGGGAGTAGTAGTACCTTCAGATTTCTATGCAGGTGGGACTTGGAAGTAGTAACATGGTAAGAATGGGGAGCTAGGGTTTTGTTTTAGAAGCTGTGTTTGCATGGTAAGAAACCTAGTTTTATATATCTATTGTTTTATTTGGGCTAGGGTTATGGAGATTATGGATAGGAGGGTGTTAAAGCCCCTGCAGGCCACGCCTTACCAAAAATATGTGGGAGATGTTAATACTTTCCAGGATCACCAGTGAGTTTCTGGAACTCTATTATACTCTTTTCTTTAAAAGGAAAGTTATTAATTTTATCTGCCTTTTAATTCTAAGGGTAGGATAACTTCAGTTTGCTTCTTCCTCTCCAATATTAAAAAAAAAATCTGTGTTTACATTGAAAAATATATGTGAGGTTGGTACTAATTTACTGCAAAGCACAGATGAGTTTTTGAATAAGCAGTATACTTTCGTGGGATTTTACATAAACATACAAATTGCATTTGAAAAAAATCCTATGGCAACTAGTCCAGACCTCACATTCATTTCTAAAGTTCCCTTAAATTAAAATTATTTACTCTCCATTAAACTACTCCCCTTTATCAATGTTTGATTAGTCACTCTTCATTAACACAACTTTGGACTAGTTTAAAGTAGTGAGGGATAACTTTTTACTCCGAACACTAAAGGCTGCTAACTTTCCTTCCACTTTAGTAATTTAGCTAGTCAGGTTTTATTATCTGTTCTGGAACAGGTAGATGCACTTACCTATTGTGAGGTCGTGGACAGGCTGGAAACGCTTATCTGTGAACTGCAGGAGGAGACATGATTTCCCCACACCTGAAAGAGGAGGATGCGCGTTCTAGGAGTCACGCGGCCGGGAACCCCTTCTTGAGTCTGGGCGTCCAGGACAGGTGAAGGGGAGACCTGAGCCCCGAGCCCCGCCCCCGGCCGCCCTGTCCCGCCC